CGGGACTGCGCCTCCCTGAGAGCTTCTTGACCTTTGTGGCCTCAAAGGCTCCGGGCTGCGGCCCCCCGCAATTCCCAGCTGCCAGCGGTGGCCCGAGCTGCGCGGCGAGCCCGGCGGGAACGCTAGGCACTGCCAGCCCGCTTCCGAGCTGCGGCGCATTCCTCCCCTTTTTTTTTTCCGGATGATTTCGGTCTTGTGCAGGGTGTATGCTGGCGCTCGCCTGTAATCCGAACACTCTAGGAGACAGAGGCAGGAAAATCGCAGGTTCGAGCCAATCTGTGCAACTTGGTGACTCAGCGAGATACTGCCCCAAAATTGGGGGGGGGGATGTAGCTCAATGCGATGGCCTCAGGTTCCATCCCAAGCACCAAAAAAAAGGCTGGTGGAGCATGACCCAGGGCTTCTGATGGAGCAGAAGTCCTGGCTGTCGCTGAAGCTACAACCTGAAGGTAAGCAACAGGCTGTCCAAGGGAACTGGGTGCAGCCTGGGGCCTTATAGCCGGAGAGGTGGGCCCAGATCAGACTTCCTGACACCTGGTCACCCGGGGATACTCGTGCTCTCCTGGCCTTGCTGAGCAGGAGAGCAGGCGATAGCCTCTCCCGTCAGACCCTGCACAAATTTGGCAGATTTCCCTATAGTTCTTGAGTAACTCCCCTGGTCACATGCCTGCTGTTTGCCAATACAAACCCACAAAAGCCACAGCCTCTGGCTCGCTTGTTACAATAATTGATTTTTCCCCCTAGCACTGTCCCTAGTTAAAAATCTACATTCGTGGATGTCTACACAGGGATGATTTCCCAACACTGCAGCCCACAGGCACGAAGCAGCCCTGTCCCCCTTCCAGCCTGCATGGCCTGGTTCTACGTAGGAAGCCTGGGAGACAAAGGTGAGGTCCAGCCACACAGGAAACTGGGAGCTGCAGGGGAGCTATGTGTGTGCAGTGAGAGTCAGAGGTGCACACAGGCCAGGCAGGAGCCTAGGTGTCCCTAGAGGGCCAGGGCTGAAGCCAGTGACCAGCTGGTCCCAGAAACCAGGGCAGGAGCCTGCAGGCAGCATGAACTGTGGTCCCAGAAGCTGATGTGGAGCAGACAGTTCTGTATCAGGACACTGTGTCACTTGGTGTCACTTGGTGGGGTCAGAGCCCTGGAAGTCTCCAGGCCTCAGAGGTGAACCCAGATACTGGGTCAGGAGGGTTCTATAAGAGCCAGTTGGGAACTGCCTGGTTGGAGTATATATGGGGGTGTGCACCGCACATTAGCATATTAGAACAAGGATTTTGGCAGCAGCAAGCGAAGAAGAGGGGGGGAAAAAGGTATGAGAGAGGCCAAGAGCCCGTTAAGACAGTGGAGAGATAAGGAACTGGAGGCTCAGGTTTCCTGCTCAGGTGATGGCAAAAGAGGTCCCTGCACCTGGCTGTGGATGCAGGAGCCGCCAGAAGGAAAGAACAAGGCAACCCAGATTGCACATATGGGTTGCACATTTACAGCTCCCTAGGTGGCACCTGACAAAGCTGGAAGGGGTTGTGTACAGGCATTTTTGCTAAAGTCGGTGACATCTCACCTGGGCATGGCAGCGCACACCTGAAATCCCAGCACTCATGAGGCTAAGGCAGAAGGATCACCACGAGCTCAAGGCCAGCCTGCACTACATAGTTCAACACCAGTCTGAACTACATAGCCAGACCCTGTTTCAAAACGAACAAAAAGTCATAACACCTCATGACTAACGCAGCTCATTGGTGCAGCATCTGTGGAGCACCTCACCTGGGTGGGGACAAAATGGGACACACCGAGCTTGTGAGGCTGAGGCTGTTGGGATGTGGGGAATGAAGAGTGGGCCCCATTGGAAGGGGACATTTGAGCAAAGACGGGGACACTAGAGAGTCAGCATGTGCAGGTGGGAGGACCTGCTTGTGCTGGTCCCCAAGCCCAAGGCAGCTGGGGATGCCCCAGAGTGTTTGCGATGGGAAAAGCAGGGTAGGAGTGGTCCTACATGTCCCACAGAAGTGGGTGAGTGAGTGGATGTGGGGGAGCTGGGGGGGGGGCTGTTCTGATTGCTGCTGGTTTTTCTGAAACAGGAAACAAGGCCAGCAGCTGGTATTGACTAAAGGGGAGACACTGGGGTCTGAGGGCAGCATACAGTCTGCGAGTCCCCCAAGATGGGAGCTGGGACCAGCGAATGTCCCGCTGTGATCACAAAGAGGCATGACCCCCACTGTGCCCAGTGCTGCACACGTTCTGCAGAGTAAACTGAGGCACAGGAGCTTGCCCCTCTTTTCCAAGGTCTCTGAACTTCAGACAACACAGCCCTACCTCATTTGGCCACAAGACCAAGCCACGCTGCCCCTGTGCCAGGTTCACCAGAAAAGCCAAGCGCTGTTCACTGGTAACAGAAATACAGTACTATCAAGACAAAAATATTGCTTAGAACACAACTGCTGTGCATTTTCTCAGACAGCCAACACTGCTCTTTATCCACTCATGTATCATACGAACATAAAGAAATTGTTTTTAGGTAGGGGTGGAACATAGTGTGCACTTGTAATCCCAGCACTCTGGGAGACTGAGGCAGGAGAATCACAAGTTCAAGCCCAGCCTAGTGACTTAGCAAGACCCTGTCTCAAAATTTTAAAAATAGTAATGTAAAGGGATGGCAATGTAGGTTAATGTGAAGACCAAAGGTTCAATCCCCATGACTACCACCACCACCCCAAAAATGATTTTACATTTTTTTAGTACTGCTATTTCAAACACACACAAGTAAATACAGTTTGACTGCTGAGTGGAAAGGTTTTCTTGGGGAGGAAGGAGGAGGAGGACAGAAGATGTGATCAGACAGGGTGGGCTGACCCTCAGCTGGGGAAAGTGCCACTGTCCCAAGATCTTCCCAGTCACCATAACTTTCCTCAGATGTGCCAAGGGAGGCTGAAACAGGCCCCTGCCCTTTCTGAAGAAGTGCTGATAATGCATCACAAGTGCCATTTGGCACAGATAGGACCTGGCAGCTCACGTTGTTGGGCTTATGTCCAAGAGAAGAAAGCAAATATGATTTCAAAATCCAAGGCTGCAACCAACTACCAGTGCATTGCTCAGGGAAGGTCTTTGCCAACTATTTGCCGAATATTTGCTAAATGTTTGTCTTAGATAAACGTTTTTAAGTTTTATAGTAAGACTGTGGTAAGCTTTATGATTATACTAGGCAGATATTTCTAAATATTTTATATTAAGCATGTGAATTACTACATGACATCTGGAAATGGCTCTTTTGTTGAGTTGCATGATAAATCTGATCACAAGTTACACATATACATATTTAAATCTACAAGGGGGTAATCAAAATATACAGTGAATAAGACAGGCATGGTGGCACACTATGTAATCCCAGCATTCTGGGAGGCTGAGACAGGAGGATCTCAGAGAGTTTGAGGCCAGCCTAGGCTACACAGTGAGTTCAAGTCCAGCCTGAACTCATAGCAAAACTCTGTCTCAAAAAAATAAATAGAATAAAATGAATTTTTAGAAAGGGCAGAGGATATAGCTCAATGTGAAAGCCCTGAGTTCAATCCCTAGTACACCAAATAAATAAATTACACATTGTGATTATACCCTCTCAATATACTCCCCAATGCTTTGAACACACTTTCCCATTGTTCGTGGCACTTTCTGAAGAAGTTCTGGAAGTCCTCTTTATAAATATCTTTAGTTGTGCTGTCATAGCTGCCTCCGTGTCCTGAATCGATTCAAAATGTTTCCCTCCAGTGGTCATCTTGACTTTGGGGAAGAGCCAGATGTCACAGTGAATAAGATGTGGTGAATAAGGTGAACACACTGCCATGTTGTTATTTGACGGAAATTGCTGTCAGTATTTTGAATGGATTCAGGACACTGAGACAGTCACAAAATATACAGCAAATGAGGCAGACAGGGTGGCACACTCCTGTAATCCCAGCATTCTGAGAGGCTGAGGCAGTAGGATCTCAAACTCCAGAAAGTTTGAGGCCAAGATTCCAGAAGTGCTTCAGAAAATTGCAAGAACAATGAGATAAGTCACTGACTCAGCTCATAGATCAGGAAAGATCCTGGCTGCTCACTGAGTGGGTTCCTCAAACCCCCTGTGGTCCAGGACTGTGTCTTATCTCTGAATCCAAAGTACCCCATATATAGTAGGTATTTAATAAATGTTTACTTGAATGCAACGCCATGTGCCCAGGATCATTTGTCCCATAAGTAAGGATTCAGATCGTCCTCTCCTCCTGAATCAAGCTGTAGCCATAGACTCTGAAGTGCATCTCCCTTTGGGCTAGAAATAGGTCTGGATCATTCCAGAAGGCTGCTCCTGGTTTTGAAAAAAACAAGAGCACCCAGAAGTAGACATGCCAGTGAGACAGGAAAGACTGAGGCTCTCTGGAATCTCCCTGGATATGGTTTTGTGATCACAGGGTGCACCTGAGTAAGGGGTCATCTCCCCAACTTTTCTCTCCATCAGAGGCCAGTTCCTCAGAGTCACAGAAGTCTCTCTCAGAATCCAGCAGCCACCCACTAATTTACAAAGGCAGAGAAGAACCAGGTGGAACACAAGGCATCTTGGTCTCCAGTCACCAGGGCCCTGAAGCCGGTGACTACCAGGGATCTTCTCCCATTGGGACACCAAACAAATTCCCACTCCTGGGTTGACACAGAGAAGTGACGCCGTTTGGACAGAAAGGACTCCTGGGCCCATGTTGAACTGGCGATTTTAGGGGACTCCTGCAGGGCACACGGGCTTTGAGACAGTGTGGTCATGGAGCCCTGGCTTTGTGGGACAAGTGGACTCGAGTACAGTTGTGAGGATGGCCCTGGCACAGAAAGGCCACTGTGTGGAAGGACAGTGCACCGCTGAGGCAGAGGCCCCTCTTCCTTTCCCTCCACATTTCTTCTTCCCAACAGGTCCCTGTATTCCCTCCTCAGGCCCCCAGCTGCCCTGGCCCTGGCCCTGGGCCCCTACCTGCTTCCTGCACTGTGGAGGCCATGACCAGCCCCAGGGGGACACTCAGGAGTGGTGGGAGGGAGCCTGAGGTCGGCCTGGGACAAGCTCCCTGATGGCCCAGCAGTGGCTGGGCAGTGGGTGACATGAAGGAGCCACCCACCAGGCCAGTGGGGATGCTCCATCCCATGTGGGGCGTGGAGAGGCCAGGCCAGGCCTCATAGGGCACAGAATGCGGCCTCACAATCCACCCTGTGCCAGGATTCTCGGGTTCTGAGCTTGATCCCACATGAGGAGGTGGCCCATGGGACCCCAGCCACACCTTGCCTCAGGGAACAGCTTTGGGCAGCTACTTCAAAGGACTCCTTGATTCAAACTGTACTTCCTGAGGGGCACTGCATAGCCATCCTCGTGCAGACAAATTCCACCAGACCCACAGACAATAGCCCAGTGTCAGGCTTTTTTTCCCTGTGGCCCCAGAAAGTGTCTTTAGTGGCAAGTGAGGCAAAGATTATAGCCTAGCCCACAACTGCACAGGAGTGGCCCCCAAACTCCACAAACTGAGCCCCCTCAAATCAGGCCATTACTCCTTCCTGGGTTTTGTGGGTCATTTCCTAAGACAAGTTCCTTTTTGTATTTCCAATATAGATCTTAGAGAGAAGGTTGTGTAGATTGGGTGTGGTGGCCTATAATTCCAGCACTCTAGGAGGCTGAAGCAGGAGGATTACAAGTTCGAGGCCAGCCTGGGCAACTTTGTGAGACCCTGTCTCAAAATATCAAAAAGGACCAGGAATATATCTCAGCACAAAGGCCCTGAGTTCATTCCCCAGTAGTGCCAAAAACAACAACAACAAAAGCTGTCAGTGGCTCTCCACCACCCATGTATAAGATCCAAACCCTCCAACAGGTCGTTTGAGACCTCTGTGTGCTGTGCCTAGGACCCTCCTGAGTGTCCCTGAGAAGCACCTTCACACAGCTGCTTTCCTCTGAACCACAGTATCTCTCAGTGGGGGTGTCTCCCTCACACTCTTCGGTCACTCACACTCAGGAAGTTCTGACTCCTCTTCCTCCATTATCCAGGCAGAATATGTCTTTCACACAGCCTTCTGATGAAGCACACTGGCTGCAGGTCAGCCTGCTTGGGCTCATATCCCCTCATTTTCTTGGCCTCCTAACTAGGAACCCATATGGGACCCAGTTTCCCCAACTGTAAAATGGGGCAACGATTGCAACTACTTCATAGGATATTTGTAAGAGATAAACGATGCCACAACCACGCCAGTAGAGTCTGCGTGACAATGCCGGTCACCTGGCAGAAACCAGACCAGAGGTATCGTCCCCACGGGGTTAAGCCTCCTGGAGGTCCTTGGCACACACCGCATGCAAAGTCAGCCGTGAAGAGAATAGCTGGCCTCTCTGCCTGCAGTTTGGGGACATTGGGTTCATCTATAATTCTGTTCTATTTTGTCTTTATTACTATTTGTTCATTATCTGTAGAATTGTATTCTGGGCCCAGGAAAGGTTAGGAACAATTAGATGTTCCTAGAGATGTGGAGATATTGAGGTACAAGAGGACGGGCGGCCAAAGTGCTGACCCTGAGCCCCGGACTGTGAAGTCCTGAAGGTGAACCTGAAGGTGACATGCTAAAGCCAGTCCTTTGTCTTACAAACTTCCCCTTCTGACTGCGTATAGGTGTGGTCTTACCTTGACTTAATGGTCTTAGCTTTTGTGATGGTATAGAGGTGTGGTCTTACCTTGACTTAATGGTCTTAGCTTTTGTGATGGTATAGAGGTGTGGTCTTACCTTGACCTTGTGGTCTTAATTTTTACAGTACTATTGTCTATCTTATGCCTGCCTGTGACTGGAATCACTCTTGTGGTGTGCCCTTGAAACTAGTATATAAACACCTGGAGTTAGAAATAAAATTGCAGCAGCATTTGCAAGCTTCACCTCGGTGTTGAGTGCTTTTGTCTGACTGTCATCGCCGAACCTGCTCCCACCTTTCAGAGAACCTGTATCTCCTCGTGAAATCCCGTATTTGCTGCCCTACGGTCGGTAGCAAAACGAGGCAGTGTTTGGCCTCTGAGCACTCACTTGATGCTGCCCCGGGACCCTTGCATGCACGACTTGCACACAATTTACACAGGGCAAACATGATAGCCACATCCCCAGATATATCAGGGCAATGGCTTCCAGTGTATCATTTTGTCTTTTCCACTCGTCACATGTACATGTAGAGAAGTTCAAACTCTCTGAAGGTTGGATAGAGTCTGTTGTGACATACTGACAGTTGGCAGAGTGACACAAGAAAAGGGACAATGATTTATTAATATGTGAAGGTACACAGGAGCACACAAAATATAAAACTCAAACAAGGGCCAGAGGGTTCGGAACCTGCTTCAATTCCCAGCATTGCAGGCCAACACAGGGGGTCAAACTTTCTGTCTGTGAGGCATCTGATGCCACCACTTCTACCCAAGGGTGTGGATCCTGCTCCCTCTCAGCCAGTTTCAGCCCCCAGGTCCAAAGCAAGAAGGGACACAGAAATTCAGCTAGTCTCAGACTTTGGTCCTAGCCCCACCAGTGACTAGCCCTAAGGGACAATGGTATGTGCTATTCTTTGGACCTTAAATGACCCCCAAAGGCCTATGTGGTTCAGGTTCAGTCTCCACCTTGGTTCTACTGGGAACTCTGAGACCTGGGGCCTAGTGGGAGGTGATGGGCCCTAGAAGGGGATATTGGAACCCAGCTCCTCCCCTTCCTGTCTTATTGCCCAGCCACCAGAAGGTGAGCAGCTTTGTGCTACCTCCACTCCCTGCTGAGTTGAGCAACTTCATCACCTGGCCTAGGACTGAGATCTCTGAAACCATAGCCAAAATTTACCTCTTTCGGGCCAGGGATTTAGCCCAGTGGTTCCGCTGCTTGCCTCATAAGCACAAGGACCCGAGTTCAATGCCCAGTACCAAACAAAAAAAATTTTTTTACCTCTTTCGCTCTAAGTTGATATATCTCAGATCTTTTGTTACAATAATGGGAAGCTAACTGTTACGGGATGTGAACTTCCTTCTGCTGCTTCAGAAATATGGATAAAAGTGGTCTAATAAGAAATATATTTGATCTCTGTCCCCAGTTCCTGGCACAGGGCACCATTATTGTTTATATGTAGAAGTCACCCCCAAGCTTTATATGTTCATAGGTGGGGCTTTCTGGAGATGATTGAATTGTGGGGTTGTTACAGTCATCAGTGATGGGCTCATAGCTAATTTGATTTGGGATGAGAAGCCTGGTTGAAGGACAGACACTTGGGACACGGCCTGGAAGTGTATCTCCCTCCTTCCTGGATCCTGCTTTCCTTCCTTTCATGCCATGAGCAATCCTCCTCTGCCATTCCATTCTGCCTTGGAGCCAGCAAACTATAGATAAACCTCTACAAACTGTGAGCTAAAAATAAACCTCTCTTCTTTTAAGTTTTGGATGTTGGGTATTGTATCTCAGAGATGAAAAAGTAACGAAGGCAGACTTTGGTAGCAGGAGTGGGGATGCTACCTGACCACATGGTTCACAAGCCTTTGGAATTGGCTTGTGGGAGGAGTTTGGAAAGGTTTGTTAATGCCAGGTGGAGAAGCAGCCTCAGAATGCTGTGAGTTGAGCTTGATGAGAGATTCTGGCCACAGCTCAGAAGACCAGAATGCTGATAGAAATGCAGGTGGTAAAGACAAGTCTCAAGAGGTTTCAGGTGGAAAGAAGGACCCCATTGGCATCTGGTCTCCAGTCCAAGGCTTTGACAACTCTTAGATGCTCTGGAAAAAAATTTGTCTGTATTTTGCCTATGTCAGAGGATTTTCAAGAGACATTAAGGGCAGCAGACTAGTTAATCTAATGGAAGAAATTTCAAGGCAGCCAAACATTCAGGCTGTAGCTTGGGTACTGTTGGGGGCTTTTAGCCAGCTCTACATTGTAAATCAAGAGCAAACAGTTCCGTTGAATGATTTTGAGTATGGCCAAAAGGAAGCCCTGATAAAGCTGAGGCCTGCAAAGATGGAGCAGAGTAGAGCTTGGTTGCTAAATAGATTAGCATTAAAAAGAAGCCAGGTACTTTGGAACAGGACAACAGAAAAGGTGGACAGAAGGCATTCAGGAACCAACAGGATCCCAACCTTCCAAAGCTTGAAAATGCAAACATGAAAGACTCTGCCTTAAGAAGAGAGCCTCAGAGTGCCATGTTCCAGAAAGGTAGCAGCCTACAGATGGAAATTAATTCCCTGGCATTCATTTCACCATGCTCAGCCATCCAGGCACTCAGAGGTCTCTGAAACCACTAGCAAATGCAAAAGGGCTCAGCTACTGCTCCAGCTGGCAGCAGACCTTGACATCATCCATGTGGTATTTGGTTTTACACACATGCAAAGTACAAGAGTTGTGGGATCAGGAAGGCTTCCACACAGATTTCAGAAGAAGGCCTGTGTGCCCCTGAGAGGGCAGTGTGCGAAGCTGAGAGTGTGAAGCCAAAAGTGCAGTGGAGACCCCAGAAGACTGGAGAAACCAGAAATGTAGAACATTGGAAGCTGCAAGCAGTGAGCAAAACTGGCCCAAGAGAAAGGTCTTGAGGGCTCCAGTCACCACTGGTGGCGCTGGAGGGGTGAGATGCCCAAGTCCTCTGGAGTTCATATCTCACCACAGACTGTCCCGGGTGCTGGATAAGGAACTAAAGGATTTAATGTCTACCCTACTGGGTCACAGTCTTTGGTCCTATTCCTTTCTATCCCCCTATTTCTACATTTTGGAATGAGAATGTTTATCTGGTGCCACTGTACGTTAGCAGTGTTTAACTTTCTTTTTTCTTTTGCAGAGGCTCACAACTAAGAGTTTGCCTTAAATCTCAGAGGAGAACTTTGACTTGGACTTTTCAGCAATGCTAAATCTGTTAAAGCTTTGACAACTCTTAGAGGTGGACTAAATACATTTTTTGGGTTTATTGTTTGTTTTTGGTACCAGAGATCAAACTCAGAACCTTGTGCTTTTGAGGCAGGCGGCAGAACCACTGAGCTAAATCCCCAGCCCTAAATGCATTTTGAATAACAGATATGCATGAATTTTTTAGGGTCCAGGGGTAGAATGTTATGCTTTATATCTAAATGTCCCCTTAAAGCCTCATGCACTCATAGGTGGGCCTTTGGGGAGGTGACTGGATCATGGGGGTGTGATACTCACTAGTAGGTTAGTCCACTAATGAATATATAATGTGACTTGGGAGGAGAAGCCTGTTCTGAGGAGGGTCACTGGGGTTGAGGTCTGGAAGGGTTTGTCTTCTTCCCTCCCCGCTTTATCCAGCTCTGCTTCCTGTCATGTCCTGAGGCCTCTTCTACCATGTTGCCCTGCCTTGGAGCCAGCTGACTATGCACTGAAACCTCGGATAATCTGTGAGCCCAAAT